CAGGGTTCACTGGGAGTGTGACACCTTTGCTTCCCACCATGCTGGGGTGGAGAAGAGGGTCCATCTGTCTTTTTCATGTTTTGTTTTGTTGTTTTGGATGTGTTTTTTTTCCTGCAGTCCCATGAGACAGGGCAAAGGCTGAACAGACCCTGTTGTTGTAGGAAAAACACTTCTTAGGCAAATGGTGGCACAGTGATGGCTTGCTGTCATTTATTTTATGTACTGTACTTGGGTTTTTTTGAGAATATTCTAACTGCTTGACCATTATCACCTTTTTGTTTTATTTTTTCAGTGTCACATTAAAAAAACCTCTCCAAAAAGCCCAACCCCATATTTTTGCTTACTTATTCCCCACTGAAACATAACTATAGTGTCATTCACATTGGGTTCAGTCTCCTTTAACAGTATACTTCAATAGTTTGATATGAGATAAGCATCTTTAAATTTATTTTCCAGTGAATAAATCCTATGGCTCTTATGCCCAATTGTCAGAGTCTCTTTAACCTGCAGGCTGTGGTGAGCTGAGTGAAGGATACCAGCAGCATTAGGAAATGGGTCTGAAAACATAAATCACTTCTTTCTTGACATATACTAGATACAGTGCAGGGTATGTTTGCATTAGCAGTTGCCATATTGCATTAGGATCTGTGCTGATTAGATTTTCACTAATAGGAGCAGGGCAAATGTATTATATAGTTGCACAATTAAATATATTGTCAGACCGAGGGTGAAAGGATGGAGTAATGGAAAAAGCAGGGGATAAGGCTGGCTTTTCTTTGGAAGGAGCAAATGTGGAGAGGTCATGTTAGAGCCAGCAGGAAGTTTAAACAGAGTTGAAGGAGGTTGTTGAGGAAATGTCTTGACAGAACAGTGGAAATGACGTTATGGAAGAGTGAATGATTAACTTGCTTGAGAAGAACCAGCAGATAATTTGAGCTGGATTGGGCTGGGCAGAAAGATGCTACAGAACCTAACACTGGAGCAGCTGAGGGGTGCTGAGCTGCAGGAGGCAGGAGAAATTTGAAAAAGTGCATTCAGCCTTGAGAAAGAATAAAAATGAGGAAGTGACTCAGAGCAGAAGGGATTTGGTCCAGATTTAGTGCAGTTTCAGTGAAACTGGTTTAACAAGAAGTCAGTTTTTAACAGTCTGATATTTTAAAGTCAATGTGGCCGTGTCTCTAATAATTGCAGGTGTGAGTACTGTTTTCCCTTTTCCTTGTTTTCAATTATTTCTTCCTTTTTCACTTGCACTTCTGAAAAGCTCCTTGAAGTTCATGTAAAGATTTTGGTGGATTTTTAGTGGACTATGAATAAGCCTCTTCTTGTGTCATGGCTGAATGCTGATTTCTGAGCTGTTCTGCTTCCAGGCAGCATCTATAATTGCATATTATTATTTGAAATTGTTTTCCAGAAAGCTTGAGAGGAAAATAATCCATATTGTTTTGCTTCTTCTAATTGGAGAACTTTTCCACACTGTAGTGTGTCTCAGTAGACCCATTCCATCATATTCTCTATTTCATTTTGAAGTCTCTTGAAGAGTTAATACTTTGTTATTGGGCTATTTTCCTTGATCTCCAGCCACAGAGGTTTGTGTTTTTAAATAATGCTTGTCTTATTTTTCGTAGCTGATGTGACTGATTCAGATTGGATTATTTCCTTTGACCCAAACTGGGGCTACAGTTCGAAGATCCAACCAATCTGTGGGCAGCCCTTTTTTTTCTTTAATAGCAGACTAATTGGCAGACCAATTAATCTGCTCATCTGTGAAAAGAAAATTTATGGCAATAAGTAGCTCTATTTCCAGAAGTCATTCTCTAAAGTAACATTACAGTGGCCTTGTTTACTTCATGCCCTGCAACACGATCCAGTGCTTCAACAGTAGCACAGGTCAATTAGTGGACAATTTAAGCAATTATTAGCCACTAACAAGGGTGACTGGCATCATTACCCTTCCTGTTTACCAGCAAACTGTTATTTTAATACAAAGATCAACAAATAAATTAGGGCATCTGTTGTATTGCCATGTCTGTCTTGAAGTAAATGATATTAAATGGGCTTTGGTTGCTGCCAAATTCTTAACCCTGGCCTAATGAGATACACTGATATGTCTCTTGCTGATTACAGAAGCTATAAAATTTCGTTTGTATTGATTTATTAACAGGAGGACCAAGTTCTCGGCAATGGTATTTTTTTTTAATAGTCTGATATCTGTATTTTTATCTTAAACATTATTGATCCAGAATATTTCAGACAGTCCAGAACTACTGGGTTCCTCTGAAAGACAAAGCTATTTCCTAGTTGTATTGATTATTTGGATACTTGAAATAATTTTAGGGTGAGGCTTGTATATGTAAATATATGCTTTTGTCTCATGCTTTTCTCATGCTCCTTAGAACTGAGCATGAGAAAACTACTTTCTCTACTCCCAGGTTAGAATTCTGAGAGTACATCTCCTTTTGGTGAGTAACTTGGCTGCATCAGCCCGAGGAGATTGGGGTGCCTGGGGAAACGCTGGGTCATGTTTGACACCGAGCCCTGGGTGCCCACGGTCAGGCTCCTTTAGTTGGGTGCAGCAGTGAATCAGGCCCAGCAGAGCCTCACCCATTGCATGTTTTTGTGCAGCTTTCCACACCATTGCATGTTCTTTCTCGGGGAACAGTAATTGCCTGCTGAAGCTGAGAACTGCAGCTTCCAGTGGCCGAGATGCTCGTGCCGAGCTCTGTGAGCGAGGCTGCATCAATGGCAGGGGTGAAATGAGCAGAACATGGACAAGCCTCTTCACTGGCACAGTGGCAGCCCCAGCAAAGCCCTAGAGCCCGGGCTCTTGTGTCAGCTCCTGAAAGAAAAGCATTCCTGTCACCCCTGAGCTGTTCACAGTGCTCCCTGCAGCCTGAGGAGCTGTGCCATGTGCCTGCCTGGTGTGCTGCCAAGGCTTTTGGTGAAGCAGTGGTGCACAGTGCACACCATGCAATATCTGTGCTGGTTTTGGTTTAGCTTGGAGGGTCTCATCTAACCCAGGACTAAACTTGTTCTGTACACACTGATTTCTGAGTAGTTGACTCCTCCAAGCGTTTCAGAAAACACAAACTGATGTGATGTTTGAGTCTAGTTGAGTCAAGATGCAAGCTCCTTAAAACTAAAACCAGCACAATGTCTTCAGAAATCATGGACTAAGTGAGAGGTTGTTTCCCTTTAAGTGATTTTGAGCCCTCCAGGTGTGAGGACTGTGGATTATGTTTCAGACACTGCCAGGAAACAGTCAGAGCAGCAGTTTAACATAGCTAAGCTTTTCGTGTTTGCACACAGTTAGGAAATCTGGTTATTCAGGATCCAACTGTGTCCCTGTCGTTCCTTCGTGTTCTTGCTGTTGGATAATGAACAAAAATCACAACACCAGCCAAAAAGCAGATCGATGTTCAGTTTCCTTCATCGAGAGAAGGTAATTTCAGGAACATTTCCTGAGCAATATAATTATGTATATGCTAATTTGCCTCAGAAATTCAGTTTTAGTTTCTTCTCAAGTGGGAGACCTGGTTACAAAAAAGTTCCTCTCTCGTCTTCAGGATTAGTCACTGAGACATGAAAAAATTGCTGATGTTTAGAGTCAACTATACCTTCATCATCTCAGACATTTCAGAACCTTATTTTTTTCTCCATGTGCCTCAGAATATTAGAATTCATTCCCACATGCGGCCTAGGTTCAGACTTTCTGGTATTTGAAAAAAAAAAGTAGGCCAAAAGAAATTAGCTAAATGAAGGAGTCATGCAGAATGTGAGATTTTGGTCTCATCTTTAATGCATGTTTCAGCCAAGCTGTAAACAAGTGCATTTAACCTGGCACAAACATGGGGTTTAGGGTTTTTTTTTAATAGTTTGATTGCATCACAAAAAATCAGGTCTGGAGTCAGCTAGTTAGCCCAGGCCATCCCTTCTGTGCCAAATTGTTGCTTGTTATAGCTATTCCCTAAAGCTTTACCCTGTCCAGTGTTAAATGCTTCTGATGATGGGATTCCACTCTTACCCTGGAGAGACAATTCCACACTCTAATAGAGCTCACCATTACTGAAATTTTACTGATGAGCAGCCTTAATTTTTCTCTGCTTAATTTTATCCTGTTAGTAGACCGTAGTGATTGATTTATTCTGGGGAAATTCAGTAAATGGTTCCTGCTTCACAGGATGGACCTTACAATAAATAGCAAATTGTCATGACCTATCTGTGGGTGTCCTGAGATTACACAGGAACTCAATTTATCTCAACATTAATTCCCTGGAAGCTATTTCTGTCAGTACTAACTCAGTGGAGGGATGAGCCGTGAATTTAAGTGCCAGATTCCTGTCTCCTGCCCCAGCACCAGCCCTGGACTGAGCTCCTGGTTTTTATGAGTGTAAAAGAAGTGAATGACATGACCTTATAAATTCCAGTCCACCAGTGGCACAATATTCCTGTGTACAGTGCACATGTTATGAAACTCCTTCAATTTTTGGGGGGCACTTTACAGTTCTTTATACATGCAGATGATCTGAAATCTGTGTTCATACATCATGGGCAGTTCTGGGTGTATGCTGAAATGAATTTGAGATGGCTCAGCTCAACAAATTTCCTGTCACTGAGGAGCTGCAGTGTGAGCCCTGTGCAGGCTGGGTGTGAGGGGAATCTTCATTTCTCCTCCTAGGAACAGAAAGGTTTTGTTATCATGGCTCACCTGATGAGCAGTTACCTCTCCCTCTGTGGAAACTCGACCGTGTCTGGTAGTGCAGCTGTGGTACCTGCATTATGAGGACAGATTAAAGCATTTCTCCCTAAAGTTCTTGGAGTTTTAAGCAGGTGGCAGGTGCTATGTGATTGCAAGTGGTTTGTTCTGTTGGAAGCAGGAGCAGTGGCAGGAACCAGCATGAATCATCATTCCAATCTTTTAGATGTGGAATTTCAGGTAGACATCTGGAAATCATTGATGTCATAGACTCCCTCCTCTTCAAACTCCTTTTTCTTTTCCTCAGGTATAATTGATTTCCTCGTGAGCCACCATCCAATTGCAAAAGTACTGAGAGACCACCTGGTCTTCAAGATTGCTCCCATGCTCAATCCTGATGGAGTTTATCTAGGAAATTACAGGTATGGTGTGGGGAATTAACCCATGTATTGTTATATTTGCCTTATACACCTTGCAGTGTTTTTTCATTGACTCTTTTATGACTTGTTTCAATTAATTCCTCTTAAACTGGAGATTCTCACGTGGCCATGTGCTTCCTGAAATTCCCACGAAGGAAAGGGGCAAATGGCAAATTTGTTCACTGCAGGAGGCAGAGAGCAGCTCTCCAAGACAGCAGGGTATCTGCTCTACGAGCCTCTAGGTGTGGGAGTTAATGTCAGCTCAGAGTTAGACCTTAGCTGTGTTTCATAAATGCACTCATTATGCTGCTCATCAGCTTCTATGTAAATGTGTCAGTCAATCACAGCTCCCTTAAACTACCCAGATCATCCATTAAAGTCACGGATTTCACTCTGTTATTGTACTGTAATAGATAGGGATACACGGAATGGAATAATCATTCCACCCTATGCTAATTTTGCTCCATTTTAGTGTTTGAATTACTACTTTACTACGTCCTCTGTTGAGATCGTATTCAGATAATCTTTTGTTTTCCCTAAAATTGTTTGCTCTTAATGCATTTATTTACAAAATAAATGTGCTGCTGGAGGTGATAATGAAAAGCAGTTGATTAGTTGATGATTTGTTTGTGGGGGCAATTACATGTACCACACAGTTCTCTGGAGAAGCCCCTGAGAAATGAAATATACTGCATGTGGTTTTGCTTACAGTGCAAGACTAAATAACACAATTCACTTTGTAGCCAGGCTACCCTGAGCTTTGGTCTAATTAGGTATTGCATTGCTAGGCAGAATAAGGCTGGGTTATTGTATGGATGAGGAGAGCACTGAGGAAGAAGATAGAAAGTGCAGAAAATGGGGCTGCTGGCAGTTCTTTGTTGAGAAAACAGCCTCAAGTTGTACCAGGGGAGTTTTAGATTAAGTGTCAGGAAAAAATCTTCACTGAAAAGGCAGTCAGGCATTGGAACAGGCTGCCCAAGGCAGTGGTGGAATCAGTATCCCTGGAAGTGATAAAAAAATCATGTGGATGTGGTGCTTAGGGACATGGTTCAGCAGTGCTGGGTTAAAGGCTGGACTCAGTGGTCTTAGAGGTCTTTTCCAGCATTTGTGTTTCTGTGATCTGTGCTCCTTAGCCCTCCTCTTTTTTTGCCCATTGTTAAACTGAAGCAGCAGGGAGCTGTGGGGGCGATTTCAACAGTGGTTCTGAGTGAAACTTCTGAGAAGAGGTGGTGTCCTTCCAGCTGCAGTGATACTCACCAGCTCTTGGCAAATCCCAAATCAGACAGTGGTACTGCACTAGTGGTGTCTGACAGCACCAGGAATTTATCAGAGACTGTGTCACCACACAGGAATAAAGCCCCAAAATGGGTCTAGAATCTGATACTACATTAATTTCCTTTCTTCCAGGTGTCTTGCACATAAGCAAACTCCAGTTGCAATTATGCAGCTTTTGTTTTCCCCATAAGTTCACTTACCCTGCAGAGATTTTCCCCTGCACTGTTATTTATAGTTTTTGAGAGACACACAGCTTTTTATAGGCATTCATATGGCTCAGAACTTGAAAAGCCTTTTGGGATCCCAGGTAGTGAGAAAGGGCATGTGAATTAATTTGGAATTGCTGAGCTTGATGGTGTACTCTTGGTTTAACTTTCCATGATATGCAGGATTTTCAACCCTCCTGAAGTTAAAGAGAATTTTAATGAGCTAGTTGAAAAAACATTCGGTTTTCTTGCAATTCTTCACTGTATTTACAAATGGCCTAATGTAACTAATAACTTAAAAATGAGGATAATAAGCAAAATGCTACCCATTATCTTGAGAAGAATATTAAAAAGCCTAGTAATGTGCCAGCATTGCAGTTAACTAGTGCTGAGTGAATAATTTACAGCAAACACTTTATTTTCTGCTCATACAAAATCCACAAGCACATCACAATTTATTTACTTGAATTTACTGGATGAATTTCTAAAAAAAATCTCCAAGGATCACTTGCTTGCATTTGAAAATTTAACTCTGAGGCTTCTCAGTGATTGGCTAGATAATTTTGCTTCCTCTCTTTTGGTCTTTGTTCAGATCAGCACATAAACAGGACTTTCAGAAGTTGTCCATGTAGTGGGGTCTAACACAGATCCACTGGCTGGGGATAACCCCCTGCTTTTGCAAACAGGGGTGCCACATGCAGCAAGAGCAGTTGTAGGCATGTGAACTTCTCCCTGTTATCTCCCTCTTTCTCAAAGCAGCAGCTGGTGACTATTTCTTTGGTTCATTGAAGGTTCACACTCAGAGCTGTGCAAGCTAAGATAATGAAATGGGTAATTAAACCTCATGCTTGAGTTTGTAAATTGATCTCCTGCCAGTGTGAGAGAGGTTTTTCTTTTACCCCACCAGCTCACAGCCTTGCACAACTGGCAAAGTGCACTGCTGGATGCACTTGGCTGTGCTCTGGAACCCCAGGCACAGTGGGCACTGTTAAAGCCTGAGTGTGTCAGCAGCTCCAGTGAGAGACTCCAAATGAGAAACACAATTTAATAGGAAAAAAGAGAAAAAATAAAATACATGCAATAGTACAAAAGAGAACCAATGACAGAATACAACCTGACACCCTGTCAGTCAGGGTGTTAGCAGCAGTCCCATTAAATGGTGGCTGCACTCCTCCTGGATGGCAGATGTGGTTCATTTGAAGCAGTGCTCCTGTAGAAGGGTGCAGATTTCCTCCAAAGGTCCAGTGATGGTGTTGAAAGGTCCAGTTTTTCCTCTGGGATCTAGGGGGAAAAGGCTGCCTTGTTCCAAATCTCAGTTTTTATCTAGGTAGGAAATGCTTGGCTCCTCCCCCTGGCTGGAGCATCTCCCAATGGGATGATGGAATTTTATCAGTCATGCACTGGCACCCAATGGCCCATTAACAGATTATATCCTCCTGGAGGAAGGATGGGTTGTGGAAAAGATAAAGAACACTGCCTCACCTGGTTTTAACAGATGGCCCATTAGCAGAGGATTTCTCCCACAGAGAGAAGGATCACTGCCCCAGCTGTTTTCAACAGATGGTGATAGAATACATACTTCTGGGCACATCTTTACATTGTAACCCAGGACCATGGCATGGCATGGTTCTCCTGACATCAGGGTACAAACCAGCCACTCACTAAGCCAGGTTGAGATAGTAACAGCTAGCTGGTGAGATTTTCTTCATTGCCATTTCTGGGGATGCAGGACTGACTGAGGGTGTGAGTCCTGTGCTCTCCTCCAAAATCCTCCTTCCTTTGTTGTTGTGAGCTGAGGTTTAGGAGTTTAAGCCAAATCTGCAATGATGCCACCAAGAATTGCCTGTTTTGCACAAACTTGTTCATTCTCAAGAGAATAAACAAAATGGGTTGTGACTCTGCCTTGGGTGTGGTGTAATGTTCATCACCAGCAACAAGTGAGTTTAACACTGCAGCTATAAAGCACAGACTCATCTGTGAGGAAAGTTGTTTATATGTTGCATGTATATTCAGGTGCTCTAAAAGATATGGTCATGGAAATGAACGTCAGGGCTCAGTGTACCAGGATACATGGAAATGGGATGCTAAACTTTACTGATTTATTGAAGTTTATGCAATAGTTTAAGAATTTGTGAACCTATGCAGTTAGGAATGAAAAGACAAGGTGCCTTGTGAGATGTACAGGGGAGATTAAGCAGCTCCTTCAATTCAGAATGTTTGGAAAGTCTATACACAATTTCAATGAAATTTTTTGTGGGGATTTTTTGTTTGTTTTTTTTTTTGTTTGTTTGTTTGTTTTAAACTCTCTTTTCAGTAGAAAAAAACACCCTCCAAGTCCTTTTCTTTCTGCATGATTCTACCCAACTTCTCCTAAAATACAGAATAACGATAGATATCTGCTATTCTCTGTGGCCAAGGATGTAGAGTCTCTCCCAAAACAGGGAGACTTTAAAGCCTGATATCATTACACTTCTAAGTGTAACTGGCTTTGCATTTACAGTGTATAGATGATGTTATGCTGCATGGGCTTGTTAATTAAATTACCCAGGAAGATGCCATTGTTTGACCCAACTAAAATAAAGAGTCTTCAGAATAATTTCCCTCATTTCTAGCTGGAAACTTGTCCTCAGCTCTCACCTGAATAGAAAGATTCCTTTGGGTGGGGGTAAGTGCATGACTTCATCTTTAGCTTTAGTTTGAAAGAATGTGGCACAAAAATAAAAATATTTATGAGTTTCTCCATAACACTAATCTCACCCTCTCTGACGGATTAAACTGTGAAACAGCTTTAGGAAATAAAGGAAAACTAGTGCAGTGAAGAGACTTTTCTCCCTCTCTTTGCAGTACAGCATTATCATATTGCCATCCCCAGGGAGGAGGGGGTAGACTTAGAGGGGGGGAAAAAGTGTTCTTGATTTAAAAGTCGTGCATCCCCAGGCTTGGCCTGAACTTTCCTTTATCAAGAGCTTGTTCTTAAGCTGGCATTCTGCAGCTGAATGCTGAAATGTGTCCCTGCAGGCAAGATGACTGTACCACACCGTCTTAGATTAGTTCCAATTTGTCAGCCTCACCTTTCAGAGGCAAAATCCTACACTGGCACCAAAAGGGATGTGTTGCTTAGCCTGGGAAGCTCTTCACTGAGGTATCCCAGAAATGCCATGACAAGCAGATGAACTATCCTGACCGTCCTCTGAAGGCTCTGTTGCATGACCCAGTGAGTGTTCCCATTCCTTGGCTTTTCTGTGCTCCTTCTCTGGGGGAGCTGTGACAGGATCAGCTTTTGGTGAATTACAGCCATGAATTGGTTGAAATGTTCTGAAATGCCACCACTGCTGTATCCTCCTAGCCTGATTGTAGGCACTGCAAGAATTTCTGTGAATGGAGAGGAGAGGGCACACACCAATTCCAATCCTCCCTCATTTCACTGTCAACCACAATATTTTTTAACTCAACGCAGTCCTTACTTCTTGCTTGTGTGAGGGGTTAACAAATTAATTTGTTGGACAGAAAGGAGGCCAGCCC